GATTACAACCAGGGCACTTCCTGTCCACAAGTCCTGAACTGAGTGATACCCATTTGTCGCCGGATTGGGAACAGGCAAAAAGGAGTTTATCAAGGAGACACATTTTTTGGCGGGCTACAGCCATATTGGTTATCCTTTTAGCCCATCTATCTATTTAATTTTTGGTCTCCAAACCTCAGTTGCTGAATGTCCAGAAGAACCTTGAAATATAAAGCATATCCGGAGAACTACTTGTCACCAAGCATGAATGTTGTAGTAGGTGAATCCCTGTAGAGTGATAACACAGCAATTACATAGTATTATAACAATCACGGTGACATTTTTGTAACACATTTAAATCTCCATCTTGGAATAGAATCGTCTTTAGTCGATTATTCCTCCCTAATACACAGGAAGCTTTTATCTAATTCGTGCTTATGTCTTTGAAGAAATTTGTAACATTGGGCTGTTATTAAATTTATCTGTTTACATAACTGGTTGTTTTTTTTTCCCTAGACATACTATGTGCTCCTTTTAAGTAGGGATGTTTCATAATTATAAATTCCTAGTAGAGTGTCTGATCACACTTTCATATATGCAAGTGCTTCTGAATATGTGATCAGTTAAGTTCTCAGGAAGAAAAGATACCCTAGGAAGTACCTAGAAATGTCAATTCATTTAATACATCATTTGTACAGATAAACATGGAAGGCCCAGAGAAGGTAAGTAAAATTATGTGTGTCATACCACAAAAATTTGGCACTAAGAAAGCTCAAATATTATGTGTCCTTGTGTAACTTAACTAAGGAAAAATAAGATATTAAGTCAATGGCTAACAAAATAGACAAATTAATTCTGGTAATAAAATGAAGTGACACAATGCTAAATTTGTATAATACTCATAGCCAAACATTATCTATATACCTTGAGTTTTTACAGAATTCTGCCATTGTAAGAAACTTATCTAAACAGAGCCATACTCCTAATAAGCACTGTGCACATTAACCATTACAATAGTAATATTTTTTAATGTACTGACAAATAGGACTTACCAAATTAAAAAGGATAATTTAAAAGTGTTAAAATCATATATACATGAAACAAAAATAAAGGAAAATATTCATGGTACCAACGTAACATAAAAGCACTTCAGAATAAGTAAAAAGGCAAGGCATTTTGAAAATAAACTGTAGAGTAATAAAGACAAAGTTAGTAGTGAAGTACCTCTAAAATTACTCATGAAAGAGAGCTTTGACACTTGGAAAAGACTAGATACCTATTTTTCTAGGTCATCATGTTTTAACTTAGTCCTAATAATAATTCTGATGATTTTCATTATTAATTATCCTTTGATTGATGGCCTCATGTTGACTTGATATAAACCTCATCACAAATATCTGGAGCACAAGAGAAAGGCAGATGTCTGAATCCAAAAGAAAATGTCTATCATTATAAATAATCCATGTTTTATATCTTAGAATACTAAGGCATGAATACATTCAACACACTATGAAATTAATAATGAATTGTCATTATTTTGTTTCTTAGTTTTGTACCAATACCATTTTTTAAATAAAAAAAAAATTGTCCTCTTGAAAACATAACCTTTTGACAATGGCCAATGTAAATATAGCAGTAATATATTTTGAATGATATCTATTGGAATGTCTCTCCTAAGACTATGGAGATTATTGGGACTCCTTATTAATGAACAAAAACCAGTTAATGTTATTCCAGACAGCTGCTTTTCATTCATCAGAGTCCTGCCTAATAATTTCTCCCCACCCTAAGAGATTTCTGTTTAATTAGTTTAACAAATTTTTGATAATCCATGAAAACGTGATCTCAATACTTGGTACATTAAATTTGAACAATGAGAGACTCGACTCATAATACATAACAATAAGCATTACATTTATAAAACCAATTTTAACATCATTTTGACCAGCTGGCAACTTTTGGTGGAAGCATGTCTTTAGATGATGCTTATCTACAAACGAAATTAAATTTTAGACAATTGTTTCAAAATTACAAAAAAATACAAAAGGAAGAAAAATTTACTGAGCTCAAATAAAACAGCTATTCACAGATTGGACAGAGAGACAAACAAAAAACAAGACAATTTGCTTATAAAATCAGAGTGCACTCAAATATATTTTGGCCAAATTAAATCATAATAATTTCAAATTTTTCTTTAGTGAAATTCCAAAATACATCCAAACAGTTTATTCTTTCTTCCTTCTTTTCTGCTTTCCTACCTTCTTTCCTTAGTTACTTTCTCCCTTTCCTCTAAGCTTTCTGACTTTCTTTCTGTGGAATGATTTTTTTGTGAAATTCATGTCACACTAAATGAGGTAGATTAATAAATTGTCATTTATAGTAAATGTTAGAGGACTTTCAAAATTTGATTTGAAAATATACTTTCATCTGACAACATTAAAGTATCTAATATTATAAGAGGTCAAATAGAATAATGAGGTAAATTAGCAAGTCAGAATAACAATCTGCAAAGACAATTTTATTTTATTTTATTTTATTGGTACATTTTAGGTATACATAATGATTATATTCATCACAATAAATTTGGTCCAGGGATATAGCTCAGTGGCACAGTTCTTACCTGGAAGCACAAGGTCATGAGTTTGATTCCTGGTACCAGGAAAAAAAAGATAGACATAGGGGATTTTTACCTGTACTTGACATATCTTGCTTCTTTTTTTTCCCATTCCTCATCCCACTTCTACTCTTATTTACCCCACTTTGCCTCTATCTATTTACAAAAACTTTTTTCCATTTTTTCCTTCTATTTTTTACCCCTTCCTTTTCCCTCCCTCTCCTTTGTTCCCCTTCTGCGTTGTACATTTGCTTCCCCTTTCCCAGTATCTATTATACATTTTGTCATTATTTACACATTTGGTTTGTCACACTGATAGGGCAAGAAGGACTCCATTTTTTCTGTTTTTAACTCCCTACTAAAAGAAGTCACTTAAAGTTCACTTAAACTGTACTTGACCCCCACTTTTCACACCCTCCCCTTGGTTAGTTATCAACCCATTTAAAGGAGAGCAGAGTCATAAAGTGGGAACAGAACAAATAAGACAAGTTGGGAAGCAGGTTAAGAGTTAAACTGCAATGGTCACTTGGAATATGACTATCCAATCTGCTGGGAGAAGTAAACTTTGTGATAATTGTATGACATTCTTGTAAGATTCCCAAAATGAGGTAATGGTTACTATGGAAACCTCAAATGTACTTAAACTAAAGGTGAGACTCAGATTGGGGCAGACATTATCTCTGGCTCCTGGTTAGAGACTGTCTGTCAGCCAGCTTAATAAAACTTTGTTCATTCTTGCCTTTTCAGCTTTCTTGTGAGTGCCTTTCTTGTTGAACTTGCTTGCCATGTCATATGGAGGCCTTGAGCACGAGATTGGCCTCACGAAGAAACAAACAAACAAAAATCCTCACTTGAGGAGGCCCTATGCCTCCTGACTTTGCCAGCCATTCTTCAGGTGGCAGCGTGCCCCAACTGATTTCAGCTGGCCACCTCAGGACAGCTACGAGCTGGGATCCTGAGGTTGTGTAAGCAGAATGACAAAGCCCCTTCTCTGATCTAGGTAAGATTTTAAATTGAATTCTGTTGTTTGCCTTTGGTTTCTTTTTTCCAGACTGACAATTTGATTGGCCTGGGCTGCCAGACGTGACAGCCAAAGGGTGTCTCAGCATAGACACCCTGGTCTCAGCATAGCTGAGAATTTGTTCAGAGCTTCGTCTCTGAGTTTGTTCAGAGTTTTGTCTCTTGAGTTTGTTTTGGATTTGATCAGTTCTGGACTCTAAAATTTTTTTTCAAATTGATGGTCAGAGGTGATTCTGATTCCTGGGACTGTTTTACTTTGTTTGTCAGTTCTGTGTTTTTCTCCCAGATGTGCCAGCGATTTCAGGTCACTGCAGCCTCAGGCTCTTGTTTGGATTGTTGGCTGAGTCGGGGAGGAAAGACCTGCTAAGGGAAACTGTTTTCTCTTTGTTCTAAATTTGAACTATCATAAGATCAGCAGACAGTAAACCCACCATTCTGGTTTATGCATGATTTAAGAATTTTGACAAACTTAAAGGTGATGTGTGTTTGTGGTAATTAAGCAGAAACCCCATTATGTTCACTGGATAGGAGCTCCATGTAGGATTGATAAAGATGGGGCCCTGCTAATCACTCCTTTGATCTTTATTTGTGGATACAGACATGAACTATGACCCTCTATATCATAACTATATAAAAGTATTATATTAGGATAGATGAGTTTGGAGTTAAGAATTATCTGTGCTTCATAGTTGAGGTGATGTGATATCTTATTAAATGTAATTATGAAATCTCCATGCAGATGCCCATCTTTTATTATTCCAGCTATATAATAAAATGCCCAAGTCTGGGAACATTGTGAATAAGAGAAGAGAGTTAATCTCACAACTGTTCACAGCAGAAGCCCAAAACCAGGCTACCCCATCTCTTTGGCTCATGGTGAGGTCGCATCACATCATGGAAGGGCCCAGACACAAAGCCAAAGAGAGATTATAGGCTCACTGTTATACCAAGTGGCTGTCACGGGAGCTACCAGGGCCTCATAAGAACTGCACCCATTCCCTAAAAGAATGGCAGCCAGATGATGCAGATGAGGCACCACCTCTGAAAAGTACCACGCCTCAGCACCACCACAGTGGGGACCATGCAGCCTACACACTGAGTTCTGGAACAAACTCAGGCCATGAACAAACCACAGCATCATGAAATTCCAGGTGTGATCAGCAAAGCATGAGCCAGAAGAATCATTTACTAAGGAAGAACAGCTCATCTTATTTTGAGTGTGTGATTCCTGTATTTACTATAGCTGAGTTTCATAGATACTTCTTTTGAATTCAAACATGTGTCTTTGCATATGCCCCATTTCTGTCAGTGTCTAATAGAAGTGGTGGCAACCAATGTAAATGAACACATCCAACACTCATCTCTTTATTTATCAGTGTTTCCTCAGTAAGTCAAAGCGATTCACTGTGGAGAAGTGGCTGACATCAGGTGTGGATTTGATTGTGGAGCATGTGCAAGTGCAAGAAAGTGGAAGTGCTCAAAAAATAAAGAGTGTGGGTATGTGAAAGTGCCTAGCATGGGGTGTGTGAAAGCGCCCAGCATGGGGAGTGTGGATGAGTCACAGTGCCCAAGAGTGAGAGCGTGGGCATAGTACAGTGCTCAGCAGTTAGATTGAGAGTGCATCAGAGGGACACGGGGACAACAAGGGAGGACATCCAGAGCATAAAACAAGAACAACTGAAGCAGTAAAATAAATGGCCAATATTGGATTCCACCCCCACGTAAATATACATGAATGGATAGAAATGTGAATCAGAATTGGAGAGATACATGAGTGATAGTGTGATAACCAGGAACCTACAGGCAAATAGTTATTATCTTTATCACTGTGTGTATCTGTATAACTATCTGTCTTTTCATCTGTCTCATAATCATGTACTATTTAACAATACAGGTTTAACTGATACATAAAAGGATGCAAATTGTGCTTTTCATAGATGCCCTGATGTACAGTTCACACATAGCTACCTATTATGTTTTTTGAAGATCTGTAAGAGAGATGCTCCATGGCTCCAAATGCAGGGAAATGATAAGGACATGGAAAGCTAATTAGCTACTTTGACTAGTGCACACTGTGTGCATGTGATGAAAAATCACAATTAAATCTGTTAACATGTATAATTGATATAGATTACAAAGACGATTTCATCTTATTACTCCATCCCTAATTTGTACCTTTGGAGACTGGAGGGCAGATTTGGAGTCCATATTTTTGGGGTCTCACAGTGGGGAGGGATGGAGCTGGGCTCTGATCTCCACCACCACTTCCTCCTTCCATCTTAGGCACAGTCCCAGACCTCAGATTGGAAACTGTCAGGTGGATTGTTTAAAGGGACTTACTTTCTAAGACAAGGATAATGTCTATCATCAACCAGGTTTCTCCTTCTGGAAATCACTGAGAGTGCAGATTGATTGCCAGGAGTTATGAATGTTGTTGCTCCAGAGGTGAATAAAATATGTCATTTATACTACATTCTACCAATACTGAACAAAAACTAGACCCTTCAAAAATATGTGACTGAGTTCTTAAATTTCAGTTAATGGCCACCATATGTGAGTCAGTGAGCAAAGTGTTTTTTACAAGCTTTTTTTTCCAATTCTGAGGAGGTTCATGCTCGTCAATGTTCTTCAGCAAGGTGGGAGTCTACAGGTCCATGGTGTCCATACAACACCTGGGATTTCTCTGTGAAAATCAAGGCTTTGTTACTGAGTTCTATTTCAACAATGCTAGAAACTGACATCATGTGATCAAATTATCTACAGTATACTAAAAATAAAGTGCATACTTCTAATACTGAACACATTTCCCCTCCATAGAGACCCTTCAAATATATATTGCTGGATATACTTTACAAAAAGAAATGTAAACCCAAGTAATGTGAGCCACTCAAGTTCATTTGAACTTAGGACAAATGTTGTGTCAGATTCGGTTTACTCTGAACTAAATGGGACTGCAACATTTTGTTGCTGCAATGGATATTTTGGAATATCCATTTTTTAAAAAATGAGCTTAGGAAAATGGAAAGGGATCTGAGTTGGAGTCCTTTAGTGGAAAGCATATGTATAAATCTATATTTACCTGTAGGGTCTATCATGTTGTGTGAATTCATCTTTCTGTACATAAACAAATGTCCCCTACTCAACATGTACTGTCATGCTATACAATAGGATCTGAGGAGTGGTAACTATAGCCCCCAATTTTTTCTTCACTTGTGAATATATCTAGCTTCATGACAGATTGTCTGCCTCATATCCTGTCCTGGAATAAGAGGAGCCTGAAACTAGTGCAGTGGATCCCAGGAAGAGCTCTGAACTCTCTGAGGGCACAAGCAGTATCATCCACTGAGGGAGCTACAGAGACCACCCGTCTCATTCATGCTTTCATACACAAGTGTACGTCCTTCATGCAAATACCTAATTAGACAACCAGATTAAAACACAGAAGTCTTTGCTTAAATTCAGCGTCTCTGTCAATCTTGAACATAGCTTTTGGAATTAGTGGACCTAACCAACAATAACATGGAACAGTCCTGGTTCCTCTTCTTCCTGGTGGTTGTTCCCAAGGGTGAAAATTTCAGGAATTCAGACAGGAAGACATGGAGAAGCTGCATCTGACCTGAGACTCACTGTGATTTTGTGTTCCTAGGTGTCCTGTCCTAGGTGCAGCTGCTGGAGTTGGGGCTGGGCCTGCTGAAGCTCTCACAGCTCTTATCCTTCACCTCATCATTTTCTAGTTACTACATCACCAGTGATTACTACTGGAGCTGGATCTGCCAGACTCAATAGAAAGGGCGGCAGTAGATGGGGCTGCAGTGGATGAAGAGCCGAATAAGCATCTCTAGAGACACGTTGAAGCACTAGTTCTCCCTGCAGCTTAACTATGTGATGGCTGAGGACATGGCCATGTATTAGTGTGGAAGAAACACAGTGAGAGATTTGTGTGAGCCCAGTCACAAACCTCCTTGAAGAGACGCTTAGGAGCAACAGGGGGTGATGGGGATTCACTGAGTACCAGGAAGGGCCCCAGTAACAGGTGCATAGAAGGAAGCTAGGGAGTGGGGGCTTCCTGTCAACCTGTGAGTCCCTTTTGAACACCATATGACCTGCAGCTACTCTGGAGTACATCTACTACAATTAACTTATGAAGACTCACATCCGAAGAAAGTAAAGGGTATTTTATTTGATAAACTTTAATCCATATATGTGTATGTTTAGGTATTCATTTATTTCTATCCACGCTTTCTCATTTGTATCATTTTAAAAACCAAACACATTTTGTGTCCCCCAAAGGGGGACTGTAAATTTTCTCAAGTCAGGTGACTTTGGAATTTCAAGTCATCTTCATCTAAAATTTTATATAGCCAGGCGTTGTGGTATACCTTTGTAATGCCAGCACTCAGGAGGTGGAGGCAGAAAAATTGCTATGACTTCAAAGAAGTCTGGTCTACACAGTGAATTCAAGACCAACCTGGAACGCAAAGTGAAACTCTGCCTCCAAACAATATATGATAGTAACAGTAATCACCCATCACCTCCTGATGGTCCTAGGTGTCCCTGCAGGGTTCTTTGTGTCCGGGCTCATGCTGAGGTCCTCTCTTCTCATCTCTTTAATACAGAGCTATGTCTCCAGTTGTCACAGAGTGAAGTTTCATAGAATAGTAATAGCAATTATTATTATAACAATAAGAATATAAATATATGAAAATCAATTTGCTAAATTTTCACCTTGAAGGGTGATTGTCTAATGAAGGATTTAATATTTCAGTTTAGAGAATTAAATCCTTCACATCCTTCCCTATGTGGCTTGAGAAAATGCAGTTCTTTCCTCTCCTGAGCCACCTCAGGATACCTGGTGTCACCAGGCTCAGCTCCAGGACCATGTGGAGCTCTGAGCTCAAGGGAGGAGGGAAGAGGGGCAGCCAGACTCTACTTTGAACAGCATCCAAGGGCTCTTGGTGTGCTCTTTCTGTCTTTCTGTCCATGGTAGCTGAGCAGGACTAGGGCCTGCACTTCCACCAAGGAACTAAACATTTTGATTTATTTCTATTATACTCGGTCTCCCTCTCTCCCTCTCTCTCTCTCTCTCTCTCCTCCTGTCTCTGTCTCTTGCAAAGAGACACACGTTGTGATGTATGTTTAACTTTGTTGGATCAACCTTGACTGTAGCAACAGGTAAAAGTTGACCTCTGAAGTTATATATGGTTCCTGCTCCAAACTCATAAGAAGTCAAAAACTCATTCCAGCATCCAAAAAAGAAAGAAAGAAAGAAAAACCTGTAAAATCTGAACATCACTATGTTATATTTGACCTACAAGGGTTCTTATATTGCAGGGAGATCTATCACCTAGGAAAATAAAGGACAGGAAGATCCAGCATTATTGGGGACCCCTGCAATGAGTCTTTAATGGCCTACAATGTGTTATAGCACATGGAGAGAAAGAAAGAAAGAAAGAAAGAAAGAAAGAAAGAAAGAAAGAAAGAAAGAAAGAAAGAAAAAGAAAGAGAAAGAAAGAGAGAAAGAGAAAGAAAGAGAGAAAGAGAAAGAAAGAAAAGTACAGGAGACAAAATGGCAGTATAGTGGGAATCTAGGATGACCAGTTCTCCTCAAGGAACAAAAGGCCACAAGGCAATCAGAACCTTAGAATTTGTTGACTGAAGAGGGAATTTGAGGAAGGGATTATTGGATGATTCAGAAGGTGAAGGTGATCTTATGCTAAGAAGAATCTTGCCTTGGAGTGTCTTTAGTCTTAGTGGTTTTAGAATTAGTCTTTGTGGGCGGGATAGGATGGCCCATCCCTAAAGTGATAATGGAAAATCACAAAAGGGTAAGAACTATAATCCAAAGCCTCTGTTTATCTCTTAGGGAAGTGTCTTGGTTACTTTAGGGAAGTGTCTTGGTTACTTTAATCTCTTTGCTGCGACAAAATACCTGACTCCCAAAATTAAGGAAGGAAAGCTTTATTTAGCTCACAGTTTGTGGAGGTTTCAGTCTATAATCAGCTGGCTCCAAGTCAGGGTGCCACATAATAGAGGGCAACTGTTCATGGTGGCAGAAAACAGCAAAAGCAAAAAGTGGAGAGTGGCAGAGAGCAAGCCTCTTTCCCTCTCATATTGTGTGCAAGTAGCAGTCACACCCATAATCCCAGCATTGTACCATGAATCAATCATAAACTCTAGAAGCCCACCCCATGACTGCATGAGGCTTTGGGTGGACATCTAGACAAAAACCGTAACAAGAAGTATGTAAAATTAGTCATTATCAATTTTGGTTCTCAACACAGCAGCACTGGTGACACCTATTTCCTTGGCACAAAAGTTGCTGGAGGCACACAGTGAAGGGAACAATGACATGGTGATGATGGATGGCTGGAAAACAGAAGAGGATCAGGGTGAGTATGAGAGCTCCTTGGGTCACAAATCTCGTAGGTTTCCTCCAGATCCCTTGAGGATCTCAAGGTGAGGAGCCAAACAGACCTTCTGGGCTCTGAGAAGTTTCAGGGAGGACTGATCACTGAGAAATTTATGTACAGTATTTTCCTGACACTCAGGGAAAGGGCTTTTGTTCTGGTTTGTATCTAGATGTCCCCCAAAGCCTCATGCTCTCAGAGATGGGGAATTTCTCACAGTGCTCATTTTCCTTCATGGTCTATATCCAGAAAAAATGATGTCGTCTCTCCATGCTCAGCATACTCATATGTCTTTGCTTCAGACTGCTTTCTTTATCATCAGTGTTGTTTTAACATTGTCTGGAAAATTCCTTTGTGTCATTCAACTACTCTAAGAAAAATGCCACCCCATTCAGAAAATTACTGAGATGCACACTCTCTTCTTTTATTATCTCACACTATCTTTCAAAACTTTCTCATACTGAAACCACTGTGAGATTCACACTCATTTGATTTGGAAACATTATACATGCTGAAACACAATGATGATTATGAAGATATCTTTTTTGTGTCCTCAGCTTCTCATGGTTCAAACTGAGAAATTCTCTTACATTGTGCACGATAACTTGCAATAAAATGTGGTAAGATAAGCCATAGATGTTTAGTAATGCTGAAATATCATGCCAAGGAGTGAGTGAAGACATCTAGAAGTGGTTATATTTAAATAAGACCTGAAGGTTGTGTATTTATGAGAGGTAAAATGGTGACATGGAGAATCAATTTATAGATAAAAGAGACAGCATGTGTATTTTGGGGTACATGCAGATGGAAGTATCATGATGTTGCTTTGTGTCAACTCATTCAGGGTTATCATAGTGTTTCCCAGAAATCATTATTATATGCTTCACATCATTGTGGATATTCTACATGGGTCACTACACAGAAGTGTAATTTGCAGCTAACAAAGAGGCCTTCATCAGCTTGCAAAATATTGTGCAACAGGATTCCAGGTGTCTGTAGCCATGGGTTTGTTTTAAGCATGAGTTCGTAACCAGATGTCTGCAGGTGTTGAATTTATTCTGCCTGTATGATTTGTAGAAGGAAACAGTCAAAATGATATGCAAATAGTTACTTGGGTCAGACTGGAATATGTGCACATGAAGGAAATCTTTTTAGCGTATTCATAGAGAAAACTCATTTGTATATTTTCTGAAGAAAGAATTAACGTATTTGAAAGTTTATTGATTGATAACAGATACCTGACAGGAATTGTATTGTTTTGTTGTTATTGTTCTTGTCACAGGGGAAAATACCTGACACACAAAGCATAACTTATTTTGTCTCATTATTTCAGAGATTGCAGTCTTGATCTGACTGCTTCTAATGCAGAAATATCATGGTAGATAGAAATAAAGGACAAGGACACCTACTTTATTAGAGCCAGGATCCAGAAAGAAGAGAAAGTCTGAGAGAAATGAGGAAGGGTCCAGATATGGTCAATCAGGTCACATTGTCATGACTCAACCAACACACCAAGAAGTGTGCTTAATTAATATCCTGTACATCTCTCAAGCCAATAAAGTTATTAACATGACTGTATCACCAGACTCCAGGTAATTTGTTTTCTAGAAATAATAATGTTGAAAGATGAAGAGTTTCAATCTGTGATGAGCCATGGCAGGCCACGTGGAGCTTACAGACTTTTTGAATCTCAGGCTCATTGCCAAGAAGTGATCAGATGGATCAAATGTGGGGCTGTTTCAGCAATCTTTCTGGCATTCATGTTTGAAAATAGGTTTATTTTCAGAATTCAAGTATTTTTTTATGACCCTGGATGAAGTATATATCTTGTCTGAGGGAGTTGGAATTCTTGCTTTTCTTTAATCTTTACTCTTTTGCAGAATATTGCTATCATGCAACTCTAATTTGTTCATTAATACGATAATTGTATTCGTCTTAGGGGTGATATGTTCATTTTCATGAATGAAAGTGAGTACACTGAGAGACTGTGAACATCTTGGCAATGAAAGCGACTGCCTCATTCTCAACAGCACGCCCTCTCTGTATTCCATTTTTTCCTAGGCTGGCCTGAACTCATGATGTTTGCTGCATCAGGGGACTGATTCTTCTATAGGACATTGACTCTGGAACCTTCTGAGAACATTTTTGACCCATTTTCAGGAAGAATTCACTGAGTCCAGTAAAAAAACCAGGGTAGCTTTGAAAAGCCAGGAGTAAAGCCCTTAAATGCAAGTACTCTCAGGTGAAGTGAGATTTACACGTGGGAGAGAGACTGGTCTACAAATTCCTACAAGCTCCCATTTCACCTCCATCCTTGCTGGACGAAGTTTGTTTTTCTTGTCGCTCAGCTGTCAGGAAATAGAGCAGGAGCCAGTCAGCGATAAAGGCGGGGAATAGCTGAGCTACCCAATCAGATGGGCCGAAGGAGGAGGGCACTTCCTGTGTCATGGCGCCAGCGGTGCCCTCTGTGAGTGCATAGATGAGAGACCCCTGCTGACTGGACCACCTTTTTCTGTAATATTTACTGGCTGCGAGCTGCATTGGAAGGATCCTGGGAGACCCTCAAGCCACGCAATGGTGATGTTGTGGGACGGGAGGTGGGGGTGGGATTGAATGAGGTGCGTTCCGGACGGAAGTGTGTAGAAACAGCTGTGGCAATCTACATCCTCTCTGCTTAGCTCCAGACGCAGAGGTCTTCCTCGTTTGGTGCTGCATCTTCATCTGTAATATTTTCTCCTTTGCTCAGGCAGGGACAGTTGCTGCGTCCCCGGCATACAGTGTCAACTGTGACACTGCCAGTCTAGAATGTCTTTTTGGTTGGCGCCTGGCACAGCTGTATCTCCAGAAGTCTGGAGAGAGCAGGAACTTTGGGGAAACGCAGAGTTCCATATTCAGCAATGAAAAAAATCATCACTTTAGTTTTTTTTACATGACTCCTCTACTTGCAGTGACGTCATTGAATGAACAGAGATCTTGATCTCAGAGCACTGAAGAATGAGGTTGCAACCAAAAGAAGAATGTTAGGAGATTTTATTAGAAATAAAAGGAATAATAACTCCCTGGTTTCCAGAAGTGTCCAGAGTGAGTGGCCCTGTGGCCGCTCAATACAGAGCTAATAATAAGTAAGCAGAGCACAGTTAATGCTCAGTTATTTAGTGGCCACTTATCACCACTGACTTTGTGGATTTAAAACAACCGTTTTGAACTCATTCTGTCCAACCCATTTCCTCAGCGTGCACTGTTAAAATGAAACTGAAATTTTAGAGAAACGCTGCATAGTATTTTATTTTAATTAATTAATTAATTCTTATTTTTTGAAACAGGGTTTCACTATGCAGTTTAGGCTGACCTTAAACGCCACTTTGTAGCCCAGGCTTGCCTCAACCTTGCAACAGTCCTCACGCTTAAACCTCCCGAGTGCTGGGATTACAGGCGTGCACCGCGACGCCCGGCCTTAGTTTGTATTTTAAATTCCTGAAAAATCAGAAGCTTATAGAGAGTAGCTGCAACTCCTTTTGCTAGGGAGGGGGCTGCATTCCGTTGTGCAGAAAGTTTACTCTTGGTCCAAAGTCCTAGGTAATTGTTTATTCTTATTTTATTTTTTATCAAAATGGCTGATTTCCAACTCTCTCAGGCGCTTCCCTAGCTAGGTGCCGTATTTATAAGCTACATACATAAATTATTCTTTACACTGAGATTATTTAAGTGAAGCTTTCCATAGAATTTAGAATGGTGAGAAAGATGGAGGGGATGTTAATGTATTAGCACAGGATGGCAAAGTGTTCCTGCTAAGGAGAACTTCCTGAAGGGGCTGTCTGTTAAAACCACACTGAAATTGAACTGGAACATCTACAGGGATGTGTACAGGTGATATTGGCATAATTGGAAAGGGAAAGGGGTATCATCTCTGAAATAACTGCTTTGTAGGCTGTGGTCTGTTTGTAGAAACGTTTTAAAAACTGGAACATTGAATGATATGTTTATATAAAACAAGTACTAAAGTAGTGGGTAAATTCCCACAGTTAAGGTCTACAGGCATATGAATAAATAGAATAAAATGACTTTTTGAACAGGCAAGAGCAAAGGGGAGTAAAAAGGAAATGGGAGAGCAGGAGATTTTGGAGAATGGCAAAAATCATCAACTAGAACAGTAAATTTCTCCAGAAGTCAGGTTGTTCTTAGTGTGACAATAAATGAAGGATTGTCTGCTAGCTTGTTCTGAGATTGAGTCGAAGCTCACAGACCTAAAGAAAGGAGGAAAAGTTAGTAATAGATAAATATTCTGTGGGTACTGATCAGCTAATCATTTTTTGCAGCAAAATTAGAAATTAGGAAACTAGTCTAGTTGTAGGTTTAAAAACAGGGCAGACATCATCACTGATGTAGAATGGGAAGGGGTTTCCCTTGGATACAGAAGATTCCAAAGATTTCATTTCTTTTTCATTGTACAGGTAGTAAACTCAGGTATTTTGCCCTGAGATACATTCCCCCAATCAGTCTTTCTTTCTCTTTCTTTCCTTCCCTCCTCTCCTCCCTTTCTTCATTCCTTTCTTCCTCCCTCCCTTTCTTGTTTGTTTGTTTCCTTCCCTCCTTCCCTTCCTTTCCTTCCTTTCCTTCTTTCCTTCTTTCCTTCCTTTTTTCCTTCTTTCCTTTTTTCCTTCTTTCCTTCTTTCCTTCTTTCCTTCCTTCCTTCCTTCCTTCCTTCCTTCCTTCCTTCCTTCCTTCCTTCCTCCCTTCCTCCCTTCCTTCCTTCCTTCCTTCCTTCCTTCCTTCCTTCCTTCCTTCCTTCTTTCTTTCTTTCTTTCTGTGCAGATCTTACTAAGTTGCCCAGGCTTTGGGAGAAAATTGGTTCCTTCCTTCCTTCCTTCTTTCTTTCTTTCTTTCTGTGCAGATCTTACTAAGTTGCCCAGGCTTTGGGAGAAAATTGGATAGTCTCCACCTCCTTGACAGTTGGGAACACAGACTTGTGCCACCTTGGTTTAAAAATTTGAGTTCTTCAGTAACCATGATTTACCAAGATTTCAGTGCTTGGATAAAGTAAACCTCAGTGAGGCATGATGGTGCTCACCTTTAATGCCAGCTACTTGGGAAACTTACACAGGAATATTAAATCATCAAGCCTACCCTGGATAACTGAGCAAGCCCCTTTGACATCATAAAATAAATATTTTGAGGTGTACCTCCACCCAAACTAACTTGTCTAATATGCATCAGGCCCTGAGTTAAGTCTCTAGTAATTAAGAGATAAAGAAAAGGTATATAGTATGAATTTTATGTTTAATTTTGAAATTTACTCATTTTTCACAGTAGTGGTAAATGGTATAACACTTCCTTATGAGGGATAGCAGTAATGAGTCACTGCTCTCTCAAAAACAAGACACCACAGCTGAACAACCAGTGATTTACAGTGTACTGTGTATTCAGTAAAGAACATGGGATATTTAGTATTTCATTATGACTTTGACTTTGTGTTACATAAATTTTCCCCAGTACAGATCAAGGTATGTGTATAAAGCAGTTTCAAAGGAGCCGAGGCTTAGCTATCATTTGGTTGATCACATATATTCTGTGCCTTTTCAATGCATTTTATCCTCGATTACCTTTGGGTCGATGAAGATGTTGTCTTTTTCCAACTCAAGTGGCATCTGTAAATTCATTTGTTCAATTCTTCGTACAGTCTTCTGTAGAACATGACGCTCACTAGATTGGTTCTTGTTTTGAATGCTGTAGTAATCAGATTTTCCTGAGCAACCAAATAAGGAGAATAGTATAATACTGTTTGGAAAAGGGAAAATTACTCTAAGTTTTTTTTCTTTGTTTTGTTTTGCTTTGATTTTTTTTTTTTTTTAATTAAGAGCTTCCTTACTTTATCACAGTGTTTGGATTAATCATCAGGTCAAGGAGATAGGATGGAAATTTTCAATGAAAAGACTCAGGCTGAGCAGTTAGAACATAAGACACTAAGCATGTGCAAGGTTGAAGAGAAAACATTTCCATTTCTAGTCTTACTTTATGCTGATTATGAGAAGCCTTCTAACTGCTTTAACCTTGATCAGAATATGCCTTTCTTCATTGGAATTATTCCTCCTGAAAGTGCTTTAAGTTCCAAACCTGTATCTACACTCCATTATCCTATACTTAGAAAGTATGTGTTTCTTATGTGCAAGACGTATTGTGCACTTGATTCTTTTATCTTCCTAATGACCTCATGAGCTCCACTTGTATTTGAATTAATAGTTCTTGGTAAATCTCCTGATAGAGAAATTTAATATATTGTCATTTCACACAGCTAAAATGGGACAAAAGGCACCTTTATGTGTTTGGATAGAGAGCTGTATCCCTGTAGTGGGCTGTCCACTCCACTGGGACATTTTAGTTCCTTTATTTATCATATGTCTGTATTGGCAGTCTGTGTACATTATTTCTCTCACTCAGGGAGACTGAGTCACCAAGTCACCAAGAGTGGTGTGCCCAAAGAGCCATGTCTTCATGGGCTGACTTAGGAAGTTCTGGGAAGTAAAGGAAGCAAAGAGAAAATAAAGTACAATATGAGGACCAAATATTAATAAATTTGGATGGAATTTGTGTACTAGTGCACTGTGTCAACATTTTCAGGCATAATTTATTGGTTTTGGATATGTGCTATGTGAACATCTATATTATTGTGAGGGTAATCTTTTTTTATTTGAAAGAGAAAAGAAAACAAAATAACAACAAAGATAAAAACAAAACAACACAAAAACAGTAAAAATGATACAGAATTTCAAAACAAGGTGATAGCAAGTTAACAATGGTTGTTATATTGCATATTGTTATCTTCAGTGAAGTTACTCAGATTACCAGATGTAAGAATGTAAGATTGGCCAAATAATTAAAGAGAATAAAAAATATTAAAAAAATCAGAAATGATACAGAGTTTCACTAATCAAGATAGTAGGGATTCAACAATGATTGTTATAGGAGAGCTGGTATAATTGTGCTGCTGATGTCTATTGGTTTATTGAAAGGAACAGTTAATGCTTAAATTTTTCTTTTTTTGCCCAATTTTGCATGATTATACCTAGTAATCTGAACACCTAATTTGAAGACAAGAATGTGAAGGTGATCTTTATTAACTCATTTGATTCTATACCTACAGTTGTCAATGGTACATAATAAAGTCTCCATCAGCTTACATAAATGCTGTGAAAAATTTAGCATGTGTCTGCAGCAGTGAGTTTAAGAATGACTTCATGGCCAGATATCTGATTGTGTAGAGTTTGTCCTAGCTGCTTAAAGAACACACTCTGAGAAATACAGGTTTGTGAGGAGACCTAGAAAAGTTGTAGAGTGGTGGTTTGCTTAGCCTGAACTGTGCAAGTTGCCAGATTTGGGACTAGTGTGGAATGAAGTGTGGACAGTGTAAATTGTCACACTCCAGGAGAGATGAATAACGCTAATTTTATGCACAACACTTCCAGCAAATGTGTACTGTAGTTTGTTTCTATGCCTACAACAAGCTCTTTAGTTCTGGAGACAGGAACGATGTCTCTAATAATTCCATTGAATTTTGACGTGATCTCAGTCTGAATTCACAG